ATACGAGATGCTCCATTCTTCTTTCTCATCCAGTTTCGTCGCGCCTAGTTCTCGTTTCGATCATATTCGCCGCTACTAGCCATGGCGGATGTAAGAGAGTCTTGTGAGTCTCCCGCCGCCGATGATGGTTCAAGACCAAGTAGGGACCCCCCCCGTGGAGGTCCGTAGATCCGCTCTAGATATCTTGCGGTCTCCCACCGCAGTCGCAATACCATCACAACCCGTATCTACTCCCGCTCCCTATGTACCTCCGCCCGCTGTCGCTTCATCTAGCCGGGGCCCTTGGGTTCCAGACTGCGAGACAGCCACGACCGTGCGTTACACGGTCGAGTGTGCTTCCACGATTTCATCTGGGAAAAAGGCACGCCACAGAAAGTACACCCAGAGCACGATAGTCCTCAGCGGAAAGCTACGTCGACCGTCACCGCCTCGCACGTCGCCTGAACCTCAGGCCCCCGCGATTCCAGAACCCGAGCCGCCGAAACTCTCGAAGAAAGAAATCATCAAGCATAAGTATCTCATGGCTGAGCACAAGTATAAGACCTGCTGGCTTCCATTTTTCCCTTGGCTTCTGTTAACAAAAACGAAAGACGGTTACCCTGCGTTGAAGTGCAGTGTGTGCAAAGCTTTCGGCAAAGAGACAACACCGTACTCCAACAGCCGCGACGGGGCACGCGACCTGCAGACGCAAGCCCACGAACACACGTCACACACGGTTCCACGAACACACGTCAGCCCACGAAGTAGCAGTCAAGCGTCAGATGGAGATCGCCGAAGGCATCGCAAGCACCCAGAGGCGCATGGAGAATTACGCGCGTACTGACATCGAGGGGAAGCGCGTCATGAGGCTCCTACGATGCGTCGACTTCCTGTGCAAGTGTGATGCACACATCAGCATGTACCCGAGGCTACTCCGCTTCATGGCCGAGCAGGAGACCCCAGACATTCCGCTGTTGTCGAAGGTTGCCATCCTGTTCAAAACATGTGCGCGGGGGTGAATCGAAAAAATGCGGAGCTGGTGCTTACCAGAATCGGCGTCGAATTGGTCGCCCCCGGCGGTTTTTCGAGGCAGGTTTTCCCGCTGCTGCTGCTTTGTTGAGCGCGACCGAGTGAGAAAAGCTCTGATTACCAAGTGTCACAGGATCAAATGTGTCGAGGAAAGATTGCACTATCGATCAGTACAAGGCGCTTTTATACTTCCAGATTACATCAGGTAATCAGGTTTATCTTATCCTAAGGGAATAGACCCTTTTAGAAGATAGAATCACCCTGCGTATAGCCACGCGAGGCTATTGGCTTTAAGGGATTACGGCAGGATTACGCTAGATATAGCGCCCAGTACATCCCAAGCCTGGTCGGTGATATAACTATAATAGCAGGATAAACCAAAGATTAATGGAAAAGGGAGAATAGGAAACCAAATGAGATGAGATAAAAAGAGAAATGACAATAGGAAGGAAGTAGAAAAACGGTCAAGTGGTGTAACGGGGTCGTACTCTGACAGATTCCATCAAGGCCTGACGAACTACCTCGGCTCGACGGAGTCGACCTTGTGAGTGACTGCTGTTCGAAGGACGTTTGTTGCATGTTTTCGGGCCGGTTCTTATCTTCCCCTTGGAACTTGTCGACTAGTTGCACTAATGCACTGGTCTTGTTTTTTGCACTCTGTTCCCCCAACCGTTTTGGCAGGCGCTGGCCCAACCTGATGCGCTTGTGGCAGGCGTGCGCTGTCCTGCCGCTTAGCACAGTGGAGTGTGAACGAGGCTTCTCGCGGCAGAACGTCATCAAGTCATGGGTGCGGGGCGCGTTGTGCAATGCGCGCCTCAGTGAGCTGATGGTCATTTCCCTGCTGCAGTGTGAGATTGACTGGGACGAGGCCCTTGAGTGTTGGCGCGAGAAGCTGAGGCTCCCTGCTAAGTCTGTTATGTTTGCCTCAGCGAAGAGGAAGCGTAAGGCCAAGGCGATTGAGGGGGCAGAAGGGAGGGTGGAGGAGGAGGCAGTCCCCGACTACATGGGGGATTGGGCAGAGGATGAGAGAGAGGAGGGGGTAGAGGGGGAAGAGGTTCCTCCTGAGATAGAAGACAACCCGTTTCTGTCTGATGACGAGGCAGAGGACGAAGTGAACATGGATGGCCCATAATTTTAGTCAAGGGTAGCTAGTGGCGTGGAATCTTGTGAAGTCTAGATAGACTAGACTAGATAGAGGACTTAACTCAATCTGTAGACTGGCGTAGTGGTGCTTTTGCTAAACTACTACTTGTACAATCCTAACGTTCGCTTAACTGATTTTTTGCATGTGCAATGCAACCCTGTTTGTGGCTAGCCAACCCTGGAGGTTTCAGGGTTGCATATTCCACAACACTGAGAAATCAGGATAGCCAAAATTTCAACACAAGGCCTCAGGGTTTTTTTTTTTTTTTTTTCCATTCGACAGCTCAGGGGGCTTTTTTTTTTAAACGTCAGGCCTGGTTTGTACGCACTGTGTTAAAGTATATATTGTGTTATATAATTGGTAGGCCTGATAGGTTATCGAACTCTACTGTAGAGGGTACAATCCCCTCCTTGTACTCCAACTCTCGTTCTAGTTCTCTCTCTTTTCTCTCGTCAAACTTTACTCTCCTAGCTCCTAGCTCCTAAACCCTCACACCATTTTATGGCCGCCCTTTCTTCCTAGCTAGTCTTTTAACACGCTGTGCTCTGGAAACTCAATACTGGGTTAGCGACAAATCTGATTTTCTCAGGATCCCTAGAATCGTACTCAGAAGTGATCAGGATTGGGAAAATGGGTTATCAGTGAAATAACTTGTCCAATGTGTTGCGAAGACTAAGTATAGAATCTGCTAACACGAGTACTTAACCAATGATCTTTGCTGGAATGGTAGAATAGTAAGACAGCGGAAGTCTTATAGGAGTGAACCTGAGCACATGAAATTGTGGGTAGTCGAAGGTTGAATAACCTGAGCACATAATTCTGTGGAAAGTCAAGGTTAATAATAGAAAGGCATTACACGGATTTATAGCTCTAGGAAAAGTACGTGTTCGCTAATGTACCTGTTCGTCACTATCGCGCTATGCGACCTACTCGTCATACTATAGGGTCGCGACTATTCGTGTGACTGAAGCGGTTCGTTACGCCTAATCGCGTAACTGAAGTGGTATGCTGACGTCATCCCGAGACATGCGATGCTTTGCTGACATCAGCACTCGGGCATGTTTACTTACTGAGAAACTCGATAGTGCTAAATACACCAAAAGCAGAACTTGCAGGAATGCAAAACTTCATTTACCACAACAATCTGGAAATTCAGGTTTGGCAAAAAAAAGTGTCTAAAATTTCAGACTAATAAAATTTAATAGCATGATAGGATCAGCCCTGGCCTATACCCGAGCCGCAAGCACATTTGTGTGTTTTCTCACATTTTGTGCTCGTCGTAAGTCCATTTTCCCGCCACACCTACGAGCTTTGCCATTGCCTGTTTGGTTAGTGCCTTGCTATATCCTAGTGCTGGGCTGGTTTTGATGTTGCCAATTGTGTAATCATCTTCCTTAAACACAACTCCCGTCCCTCGTTTATTTCGTAATGGAAGTTGCTGTAATGAGTTGGCTCGAAGCGAGGGGGAGCGGGAGTTCCGGGAAAATTGCTGCCGCGGACTGTCCACGAAACTTTTCATACTTTCGTGGACAGGCCCTACTTTCATGGACACCACATCGAACTTTCACATCTCCCGTGGACTCCGTCAATACTTTCGTGGACTCCAGGCATACTTCCATGGACACACGCGAGTTTGAAACAAAAAAAAATACAGAACTGTACAGATGCTGACAGAAGGAAAAAAGCAAAATTAGGCGTAATCAAGTCCCTCGCAAATAGTCGCAAGCTACAGTATTTTTAAGCCACCAAGTCCGCTAGCTGTTTCGCGTGTTTATAGAAACTCTGAAGCGATCCTCAAAATTCATTTGAATGACTGTCACGAAGCGCTTTTCGTTGAACGATAAGTGTAGCAGACCGACCTGGTGAAATATCGCTACAAAAAAATCACGTTGTAGAATAAAGATAGATATTACGCTTACAAGATTAATAGAGCTCATTAAAAATCTCTGCCTACCAAGAATCAGGAATACCATGAATTCTGGCATTTACAAATATTTCAACTAGTACTTGGCTTGCATTTTCAACTAAGATGTGAAATCTCAGAATACCAATAACGTTTGGTGAACATGACTATATAAATGGAAGGTTTCACGTCTTGATTGTATTATTATTAAAATTTCGGTACATAATAAAATAATAATAGATGAGAAAATGATATAACTATTTTACATTCACGTTTTTGGGAATATGTTTTTTATGTGTGAACGAGAAACATACTAATGCAAATAAAAACAAGTGATTCTAAAAATTATATTTCTTAGGTGTTTTTTTCACATAATTACTAATAATGAAATTATTTATTATGAAGGAGAAAACAACTGCTGGTTGATGCTGGCTCGTCAAGCACGTGCATATTATGTTTTGTTGGGTAGCTCTGAGTTGAATAATAAGTGTTTTTACCACGCGGACCCTAATACACCCTGTTTTTGAAAATTCACTGCATATTTGAGTGCGGCTGCAAACTCTTCCCAGAAAAGCTCCGAGATTCTGTTTCAGAACTGGTTTCCGACACTGTAGCTCGCGATTACTTGCGACGGACAGATATTCTGGAGTATCTCGATTTTTGTGCCCGTAATCACTCGTACATTGCTGAATACTCCTTTTTAACTGCGAATATGGGTGTGTCCATGGAAGTAAGCCGGGAGTCCACGAAAGTATTGACGGAGTCCACAGGAGAAGCAAAACTTCGATGTGGTGTCCATGAAAGTAGGGCCTGTCCACGAAAGTATGAAAAGTTTCGTGGACAGTCCGCGGCAGAAATTTTCCCGGGAGTTCCGCTGTGGGACGGAGGAGAATGTACAGTGTCCTTCATCACCAACACCTTGATTTATCGAGGGCTTTGCGGACTAGTGCTAACCTTCCACTACTCTCCAATTATCGATTTGTTCCTGTCTAAGCTACCATACCTTCTAGATTATCATCACGTTGGAACGGACGGGCTTACTCCTCCCTGGCACGAGAACCCCCGTCTGCCTGATGTCTCTCCGCCTCCCCACCGTCGCACCGTGGATGCCCCTCCGTCTTTTCCAACCCTCTGCACCTCCGCTCTCCTTGCCCGCGCCACCCGCTTATGGGCCGCGGGCCGCTGGGGAGGGGAGGGGAGGGGGGGAGACGGTGAAAAGGGAGAAGGGCGCGGAGAGTGGGAGCACAGGGGCGGGCGGCGGCGGCGTGGACCTGAAGCGGTGGATGGAGCAGCGCGTGCGCGCCACGGGCATCGAGCCCTTCCCCTCGCTGGCGAGCGCCTTCCCCCCGGCCTCGCGCGCGCATTCCGACTCCCCCCCCGACTACAACGACTCGGGGTGGATCCGAGAGCCGGCTCGGGGCAAGGACGGCGGAAAGGCCGGGGAGAGCCACGAACGCAGAGAGCCGCAGCAGCCCCCCGCGAAGGCACAGGTGCCCAAAAGGGGTGGGCGCGGGGCGAGCAGCAAATTCGCGAAGCTGTCGCACGCGGAGTGGGAGGCGCAGGCCTTGGCGATGGTGCAGGCGAAGAAGAAACAGATGCTGCTGCTGGCGCGCGCTAGGGACGAGCGCGAGGGGAAGAGCAAGGAGAGGGAGAAGGAGACGAAGGAGAAGGAGAAGGGGAAGGGGAAGGGGGCAGTGAGTGGCGCGAAGGAGGCGAGCGGCGGAGTGGGTAGTCGGGGAGGTGGGGGGGGGGGGCGCGGGGGAGGGAGGGCGGCGCTGGTCACGTGCAGCTGCTGCCGCCGCCACAGCTGTCAGCGCGACTCAGTGCAGAGATTGCGGGGGAGGGTGGGGCGCAAGGGGAGAGGGGCGGAGAATGGTCGGGGGGTTCAGGAAGCAAGCAAGGGTCAGCGCCCACCCATGCTCCTCGCGCCCCCGGCCCTCACCGCCTCGCACCTAGCGCCGCTGCCCCCGCACTTGCTCCGCTGTCCCCCACGCGCCCCCTCCCCGCTGCTGTAGGCAGCAGGGCGGACGAGGCGGAGGTGCTTGGGGCGGGCTCGGGGGAGAGCGGACTGAGGAAGGGCGCAGGGGGGCTGGGAGAGGGAAGGCAGGCAGCGGGTGGGGCGATGGGGAAGGGGCGGGAGGGAGGTGGCAGCGACGGAGACGGCAGCGGTGCGTTTGAGGGGTGGAGGGGCGTGTTGCGGACAGGGGGTGCGCAGGAAAACAGTGGCAGCACGGGCGGTGGCGCAAGTGGCAGCATCACACGCGTCAGTGATGGTGTGAACAGCACGAGTGACGCAAGGGACGGCAGCATGAGTGGTGCACGCAGCGAGGGGTGGCATCCATCGGCCTTGAGTCAGCACGGCCTAGTGCCCGCAGGGGTGAGAGCTTGGCAGCTCCAGAGGTTGCCATGCTGGGGAGGCATCGCTAGGCGTGTGCTCGCCCCGTTGACCCACCCGCTCTGCTCCACGTAATCCCTGCGCTCTCCCGTTTGCTGTTCTTCCCCTCTCTGCCACGGGCCTTCCTCCTCTCCGCCCCCCCCACGCCCCTGCAGTCCCCCCGTGCCTCCCCGCCGTCATCTGCGCGCGAGGCGGCGCGGCGGGCGCGGCAGGCGGCGCTGGTGGCGTGTCTGGTGGAGGAGGGCTTCCGTGCGCCCGACCTGCACCGCTTCGCCAGCAGCAGGAAGGCGTCGCTCACCGTGAGTCACAGCAGAGGGGCAGCTGCAAGGCAGCTGCAAGGTAGCTGCAAGGTAGGTAGCTGCAAGGCAGCTGCAAGGTAGCTGCAAGGTAGCTGCAAGGCAGCTGCAAGGTACCTGCAAGGCAGCTGCAAGGTAGCTGCAAGGCAGGTGCAAGGCAGGTGCAAGGCAGGTGCAAGGCAGGTGCAAGGCAGGTGCAAGAGGCGAAGGCTGCCTGCCGCCTTCAGTGCATCACCGTTAATCCAAGGGCTCGCGCTCCCCACGCTGCCTCACGCGCTTCTCTCGCCAGCCCCCTTCTCTCGCCACCCCCCCGCTCGTCTCCTCATACCGTGCACCCCTCCACTCCTCTCTCCCACCCCCCCTCTCCCGCCAGACGTCGGTCGTCCTGGCTCGCGAGCGCATTGCCTATCTGCGCGCCATCGGGCTGCCCGCCTCCGCCGTGCCGCGCCTCATCGCGCGCTGCCCCCGCCTGCTCACCTTCCGTGTGGACTCGCGCATGGCGCCACGTGTCGCCTTCCTACTGGCCCTGGGCGTGCCTGAGGACCGTGTGGGCCGCGTGGTGCAGCAGGCGCCGGGCATCTTCGAGTGCAGCGTGGAGCGCGCCCTGCTGCCGCGCATCCACTTCCTGCAGGTGACGCCTCGTTGCCCTGAGCTGATACCCTCGTTTCATCGAAAAGCCCTCTCTTGTTGAGCCGCCTATCATTCGTCCACGTGGATTTCTACCACTCAAGTGTTGTGTCAGCAACGCCACACTTCACCGAATGAAGGAACGGCCGGCTGAGGTGACTCCATGCAAGCGACCCTGAGCAGCATGGCTGTGCCGCCTGCCCTTCACTGCCACCCACTCCCCCCCTCCTCCCCCCTTCCCTTGTGCCCCACAGAGCGCGCTGCAGCTGAGCGGCGAGGACGTGGTGAAGGTGGTGGTGCGCAGCCCGCAGGTGCTGACGCAGAGCGTGCAGGAGGGCCTCGTGCCGCGCCTCCACTACTTCCTGCACCATCTCGCCCTGCCCCTGCCCTCCCTCGCCTCCATGGTCGTGCGGTCAGTGCCCACGTCTATGGACGTGCCCGTCTCTTTTCTCTCTCTCTTCCCCCTCCCCCCCCCCCCCCACCACCTTGGTTTACCTACACGCTCACCTGTCCACTGCCGCATTGACATGGCGTCATCCCCCTGGCAGCCACCCCCAGCTGCTGCACTACTCGCTGGAGGACGCGGTGCGCCCGCGGGTGGCCTTCCTGCGCAGCATCGGGCTCTCCACCCGGGATGTGGCGCACGTGCTCTTCAGACTGCCCCAGGTGCGCACGTGCTCTTCAGACTGCCCCAGGTGCGCACGTGCTCTTCAGACTGCCCCAGGTGCGCACGTGCTCTTCAGACTGCCCCAGGTGCGCACGTGCTCTTCAGACTGCCCCAGGTGCGCACGTGCTCTTCAGACTGCCCCAGGTGCGCACGTGCTCTTCAGACTGCCCCAGGTGCGCACGTGCTCTTCAGACTGCCCCTGGTGCGCACGTGCTCTTCACACTGCCCCAGGTCAGCTGCAGATGCCTTGGGTACTGTTTGTATCAGCTGGCAGCGATGTGTGGCAATCACCTGCTTGCTTCCTACCATCTTCCAATGCCCTCTTGCCTCCCCTCCCTTTACCCCACCCACCCCGCCAGATCCTGTCTCTCTCGGTGCCCAACTGCCTGGAGCCCAAGTACGAGTACCTGGTGCGCCACCTTGGGGGCTCGGCCAGCTCCGTCGTGTCGTTCCCCGCTTACTTCTCGCTCTCCTTGCACGCGCGCATCCGCCCGCGCCACCTCTTCTACCTGCACTCCCGAGGCCGCTCCTCGCCCTCTTCCCCTCCTCCTCCGCAGCTTCCTCCTCCTGCTGACGAGGCTCCAGCCTCTCCCCCTCCTCCTGCCTCCTCATCTGCTGCCACTGCTGGCTCGTCTGCCGCCTTGCCGTCTTCTGCAGACGCACCACCCATGCCATCACCCCCATCCGCACCCCCATCCACACCCCCATCCACACCCCCATCCACACCCCCATCCCAGTCCGCCCATCCCTTCGCCTTCCTCTCATCCTCCCGCCCCCTCCCAGCTGCATGCTCCCCTCTGCCCCCTCCCCAAGCCGCCCCTCCCTCCACGGCCTTCCCACTGAGCCTGCTGGCGCCCACGGACGAGGCGTTCTGCAGGCGCCTGGGGCTGCCCAACGACTCCCAGTACCAGGCGTTCAAGCAGGCGCTGGCCTCCACTGCTGCCCCGCCGCCTCACACACCACGGCCAGAAACAGCTGCACTGCCATCTGCTGCGGCACAGCCAGCTGCGGCAATATCGAGGAGAGGGGTACGAGAGGCAGTGGCACGTCCAGCAGGAGTGGGAGGGAAGGGAAGAGACAAGTCGAAAGACTGAGACACCCACCAGTTGGCATGCATTGCCAGAAGTACTTCGAGGAAGTGAAAAAGACTTGTGAGACGGATCTAATGTTGCGAATGGGCGATGTTTCCCTACGTCAATAATGTAGGAGCAGTCTAATGTTATCGTTATAGCTGCGAGCATACCTCATGTTACAATTCTCGTTTCGCGATGCCATCCATGTTCTGCTGAAGCGCGTTTGCCCTTCCCACTTGCTCACATGTCATTGAGCTGCATGCTCGCATTCGAGTCACCTCCACGCAAGCAGGTCGGCTCAGCGCCCTTGGTAGAGTCAAATGACCTCGCTCTTCACTGCCGCCCATGCGAGGGCTCCCATGCGAGGGCTCCCGTCCCGTGCACCTCATCGCTCACCGCTCACGTCATGCTGCCACCATCGGAGCCTTCCTTCGCCGCGCCTCGCGCTTCCTCCCACGCGCACGTCGCGCGGGTCCCTCGTGTCGGCAACACTTCCCCCCGCGCTCCAAGCCTCCTCCCGCCCCTCGCGCTGCCCGCGCCCAAGCCCGTCCCCGCGCGCACGAGCCAGCTTCTTGTCGCTGCCGCGTGGCCGACGGGGCAGGGGAACAGGGTTGAACGGGCGGGTAGGCTTGATTCTCCGAGGGTAGAGTGAGAAGCAAGGGGCGGAGAGTGAGAGCGCGGAGAGGCGGACCTGCGGCTGGCAATGAGACGTGCGCGGAGGCGTGGAGGGGCGCACGGATGCGGGTGTTGGCTTGGAGGGCCCCGTGCCGTGACGGTCAGACAAGCCAACAGGTGACGTGCGAGAGGCCAAGTAGCGCCGGCACCACGACAGCCGCGGTTTCGAGTCGACTCAAAATACACCACGACAGCCGCGGTTTCTGGTCGCACGGGTCCCGCTGGAAGGCATGCGCCGGGGGTGAGGGGCAGCGGTGACGGCAGTGGCGAGACCAGTCGCGCGAACAGCGACAGCAGTTGCCGCGGAAGCTTGGTGTAGAACGTCGTGGGAAGGGGTGTGGTGAGAGGGGTTGCGGTGGAGCGGCTGCCGGCATGTCTCAGGCGGCAGGCGGCGGCGACGACGGCCTGCTGGGCCTCCTGGCGGACAGCAGCGCGCGCGGCTGGCTCGACATGTTCTCCGCGCTCGCCCCTCGCCCCCACCACCGACACCTGCACCACTGTCGCCACTCCCAGCACGCCGCCGCCCCACCCCCTGCCCGCTCCACTGCCGCTGCCCCCTTGCCTCCCCGCCGGCGCAAGGGTCTCGTCCGTGGTGCGGGTCCACGGGTCGCTGTCGTCGGGGAACCACGCGGCGGGATCGCGCTACCACACATCGTCGTCGCACGGCCGCACAAACACAGCGGGCGGCACGGCGGGCAGCAGCAGCAGCGAGGCAGTGCGGGCGTGCTTGGTGCCCCACAGGCACACGTCCCTCATGCGCCACTCCAGCTTGTGCTGCACGCGCTGAAAGGCACGCGGGCCAGACGCCAGAGAGGACCCACTGGCAGTGGCGGCACCCGCACTGCCCTCCCAAGCTTCTTCCCAAGCTGCTGAGTCCTCCCATGCACCTCCCCGCCCCACTGCTGCCCCACCTCCCGTAACTGCTCCGACCCCACCTCTCCCTCTCTCTCGCCCCCCACCCCCCACCACCACTCGCACTCTCCTCTCCAAAAAGTCAAACTCCACGCGGCACCCCTCGGCCCTGGACTGCCACGTTACCGCCAGCTGGGACGGTCGTTGCATGAAGCCCACATGGACAGTGGCGTCACGCAGAATGCCCTCCGGCGCGCGCCTGTGCTCCGCCACCCTCTGCACGCCCACGCGCTGCCCGCTCACCTCTAGCAGCCCCTCGCACCGCACCACCCTGTTGGCGGCCTCCGGAGTGAGCAGGTCCACGAAGCCGTACCCCAGCGACGCCCACTCCTCCCTCGCCCCGCCCGCCACCGCCGCCACCCACGTGCACCCCTTCACCGCCACGCGCCCAACCGCCTCGCTCACTGTGCTCCGCACGGCGCCCGCCAGCGCCTCCGCGCTCGCGTCCCCGGGAATGCCGTCCACGCGCACGCGCGCACCCCCCCACCTCCTGCCGCCCCGCCCTCTGCCGCCGCGCGCGCCGCCTCTGCCTCTGCCCCTGCCCGGCCTGAAGCTGCTGGCGGCGGCGGCGCGCTGCACCGCAGAGCGCGCTACCTGGGCGCCCCCCAGCAAGTTGCCATCGCCTCTGTGTTCTCCGCCCAGCCCCCCCTCAGCCTCGCGCACTTCGTCCACCTGCAGCCCTCCTGCCCCTCCCTTGCCTCCGCCCTCAGCACCGCTAGCATGGGCACTGCCAGCAGCAGCAGCAGCAGCCAAGCACCATGTGCCCGTCCCGCCACCCTGTCCTTCCCAGTGCTCTACCTGCTCACAGCGCTGGTCCAGTGGGGCACCATCCCCCCCACAGCCGTCTCCCCCTCCCTCTACGGCGCGTTGGCCCGCGAGCCCGTGCGCGCTGCCGTGGCGGTGCTGCTGGAGTTCTTCCGCTTCTCGCGGCCCAAGTTCGACCCCCAGAGCAAGTTCACGCAGGTGGCCCGGGCCATGCGGCAGCAAGGCAGGCTTCCGGGGAGAGAAGGGCAGGTGGAGAGAGGGGGGGGGTCGGAGAGAGGGGGGGGGTCGGAGAGAGGAGGGGGGTCGGAGAGAGGAGGGGGGTCGGAGAGAGGAGGGGGGTCGGAGGTGAGGAGAGCGCGGTGCAGTGATGAGCACCCACAGCGGCAGGGGGGGCCAGAGGAACACACGGAGAGGCAGGGGGCAGAGGAGGAAGCGGAGGAGGAGTTGGGACAGAGTGAGAGCAGTGTGTGGCCATGGCCCCTCCCTGAGAACTATGTGCTTGTGTTCCGCGTGCTCATCTCTCCCCTGGCCACGCACTGCTACCTGCCCAGCGCCGAGCTCGCCAACCGCGTCATCTCGCACTACCGCCCGCTGGCCCATCGCTTCCTGCGCGTCACCTTCACCGACGAGGCCGCCCGCCAGCTGTCGTCGTTCGCACTGGTGGGGGCGGGTGGATGGGGGGAGCCGGCGCAGCACAGCAGCCGCACGGACGTGTACCGCCGTATTCTGAGGCTTGTGGACCAGGTGAGAGGCGTGCAGCGGGTGAGAGGCGTGGGGTGGGTGAGAGGGGTGGGGCGGGTGAGAGTGGGTGGGGCGGGTGAGAGGGGTGGGGCGGATGAGATGGGCATGGTTGTTGCTGTGCACAGTGGTCGCTCTTCCCCCATTCTCATGTGATCCCCCTCCCCTTCCCTCCCCTTCCCTCCCCTTCCCTCCCCCGTCCAAGCTATCCATCGCCTCAGTGTTGTCAACACCCATACGTAGAGGCTTGCCTGCATGCCACTGCCCCCTTGCCGGCATGCCACTGCCCCCTTGCCGGCATGCCACTGCCCCCTTGCCGGCATGCCACTGCCCCCTTGCCGGCATGCCACTGCCCCCTTGCCGGCATGCCACTGCGCCCTTGTGTCCTTCCTGGCTTCATCCACCCGCCACGGCCCGCAGGGCTTCACTCTGTGTGGGCGGCACTACCGCTTCCTCGCATCGTCGGCGTCGCAGCTGCGGGAGAAGTCCGCGTGGTTCATCGCCGAGGAGCCCTCCATCGGCTTCACTGTCGCCTCCGTGCAGGTGGCCACCCACACACTCATTCCGTCAGTCAGTCAGTCTGTCAGTCGGTCAGTCAGTCCGTCGGTCAGTCCGTCAGTCAGTCCGTCAGTCAGTCAGTCCGTCAGTCAGTCAGTCAGTCCGTCAGTCAGTCAGTCAGTCAGTCAGTCAGTCAGTCGCTTCGACAGACAGTCGTCAGTGAGCCAGTGGTCATTCAGTCAGTCGTCAGTCTGTCAGTCAGTCTGTTGTCAGTCAGTCCATCAGTCTGTTGGACGTCAATTTCTCCGTCCATTGTAATATATCAGTCGATTAGTCAGTTGTCAGTCAGTCCATCAGTCAGTCAGCCAGTCAGTCAGCCAGCAGGTGGCAGTCAGTATTCTGTCAAGTCAATTCGTCAGTCAGTCGGTCATTTGGACGGGCTTGATAGCGAGGAGGGGCACGTGAGGGCCACCTTCATGCAAAGCACCTGCCAGTGCAGCTGGGGCAGCCACTGCTCACACCCTCTACCTCTCCCTTTCGGCTGCTGGGGGTCTGTGGTCGGGAGTGAGCCATGGAGGTCTCTGCTGGAATTCGGGGGGTTGGGGCGTTTGGGGGGGTTTTGGGGGGGGGGGAGGGGGGGGTTGGGGCATGGCAGGCGTGGATGGGGACGTTCTCTGCCATCCGCAACGTGGCCAAGTGCGCTGCGCGCATGGGGCAGTGCTTCTCCTCGCGCTTCACCTCGCTGCCCCTCCCCCGCGCGCTCGTCTGTTCGCTCCCCGACGTCACGCGCCACTCCTACTGCTTCACTGACGGTGTGGGCGCCGTGTCGCCCGAGGCGGGCAGGGCGCTGGCGGACGCCATCGCGCCGTACCTCGACCGGCCCGTGGCAGGGGGGGGCGGGGTGGGCACGCGGCGCGAGGGAGGGGCGTGGCTGCGCGCGCCGTCGGCGTTTCAGATGCGGTACGCGGGGGCGAAGGGGGTGGTGGCGGTGTGGCCGCGGCGGGTCATGCAGCGCGTGGAGCGAGAGGCCCAGGTGCACGGGGAGGGGGGCAGCGCCACTGCAGCGGCAGGGGTGGAGGTGGCCGGTGGTGCGCAGCAGCAGCAGCAGGCAGTGGGTCTGATGTTCCAAGAGGGGCAGTGCGCAGGCGCGTGGTGCGAGCAGGCAGGGCGTGGAGCAGCAAGGGGAGATGGGGGTGTGGTGGGGCAGGGCGTGGCCCACATGTGGGTGCGGCCCAGCATGGACAAGTTTGAGTCGCAGCATGCTGACGTGGAGGTCATCAACTGGACGCGCCCCCAGCCGTGCTTCCTCAACCGCCAGATCGTCACGCTGCTGTCCACGCTGGGGGTCCCTGACCAGGTGTTTCTGGACATGCAGGTGTGCCCTCTGCCGCACCTTGCACCCTTGCCTCCATCTCCCTCGCCCTTCATCTCCCTGCATTTGTGCTCTGGTTCTCACTGTGACCCGCGCTTTGCTGCGGCCACGGGGTGCAGGCCACCCCAATGTGTGCAGGCCACCCCAATGCGTGCAGGCCACCCCAATGTGTGCAGGCCACCCCAATGCGTGGGCTGCGCACTCATTCATGCCAAGGCCCCCCCGGGCCCCCGCTGCACCCCTCCCCACCCCCCCCCCGCCCCCCGCTTCTTCCCCCCCATGGCACCCACTGCCCTCTCCGATGGCCCCCAGGACACCATGGTGCAGCGCCTGGATGCCGCAGTGAGCAGCCGGGCGTCGGCGCTGCGGCTGCTGGAGGAGAGCGGCGCGGACCACCTGTACGGCGCCGCCATGGCCATGCTCAGGGCCGGCTTCCACCCCGCCCACGAGCCGCACCTCAAACGCATGATCCGCGCTGTGCGGTAAGGACGGGTGCTGTGGGCTAGGGAACGGTAGATGCTGTATGTGACTCATCCAGGTTGGCTCTCTAGCTTGCATCCCTTGCCACTTGACTCTTGAGGTCTGAAAAACGCCATGAGTCGAAAGTCTTCCCCACCATTTTCTGATGGCAGCGTAATTGGCAGCAACTACAGGTGGCCACTGTACCTGTTTCCTTCCATTCCCCCGTCCTTCCTACTTCCCTCTCTGCAGTACGGGCAGTGCTTCATCCAAGTGTGCGACGCCACGGCGCCCACACCCACCTCCACATACCGCCTCAACAGCACGGGCCGTGGCATGGGGGCCCCGCGGGTGGTATCTGGGCCGGTGGTGTTTGGCAAGAACCCGTGCCTGCACCCGGGCGACCTGCGCCTGCTCACAGCCGTGGACGCGCCGTGCCTGCACCACCTCATCGACTGCCTCGTGCTGCCCAAGCACGGCCCGCGCCCGCACGCCAACGAGGCGTCGGGGAGCGACATGGATGGCGACGTGTACTTCGTTGCATGGGACCAGCGGTTGCTGCCGCCTGGAGGGCGGAGCAGTGAGCCCATGGACTACCAGCCGGCAAAGAAGGACGGCCGTGCTGCCGTCACCATGACGGTGGGTCTCAGTCCTCACGGTGGGTCTCAGTCCTCACGGTGGGTCTCAGTCCTCACGGCGGGTCTCAGTCCTCACGGTGGGTCTCAGTCCTCACGGTGGGTCTCAGTCCTCACGGTGGGTCTCAGTCCTCACGGTGGCTCTTAGTCCTCACGGTGGCTCTTAGTCCTCACGGTGGGTCTCAGTCCTCACGGTGGGTCTCAGTCCTCACGGTGGCTCTCAGTCCTCACGATGGGTCTCAGTCCTCACGGTGGCTCTCAGTCCTCACGGTGGCTCTCAGTCCTCACGGTGGCTCTCAGTCCTCACGGTGGCTCTCAGTCCTCACGGTGGCTCTTAGTCCTCACGGTGGGTCTCAGTCCTCACGGTGGCTCTCAGTCCTCACAGTGGGTCTCAGTCCTCGCGGTGGGTCTCAGTCCTCGAGGTGGGTCTCAATTCTCACGGTGGGTCTCAGTCCTCACGGTGGGTCTCAGTCCTCACGGTGGGTCTCAGTCCTCACGGTGGCTCTCAGTCCTCACGGTGGGTCTCAGTCCTCACGGTGGGTCTCAGTCCTCATGGTGGATCTCAGTCCTCACGGTTGGTCTCAGTCCTCACGCTGCTGCTCTGCTGTTTCTCCCTCCAATGCGGCCACTCTTGCTAAGTCGGTGTCTCATGACAAGTACCTCCGACCAGGTTATCACTTTTCTGTATGTGTGTGTGAAGCTGCATGGTGTTACACCCAAGCTGGCATGCTTCCTCTCACCCCAGCTCCACGGTATCCCTGCTCCCCCAGCAGGAGGTGCACCTGTTCTTTGTGGACCACATGCTCAACGACAGCGTGGGCATCATCTGCAACGCGCACGTCGTGCACGCTGACCGCAGCCCCATGGGGGCCTTTGACCCCGCATGCATCACGCTGGCGCGCGAGGCGGCGTGATGCCGCGCGGGCTGAGGGTGCACGAGTACCCCGGCTTCATGGAGAAGGGCGCGCGGCAGGACACGCACGAGTCCAGCAAGGCGCTGGGGCAGCTCTACCGCCGCGTGAAGGCCATGGTGCTGGGCGACCAGGCGAATGACTTGCCGCGGGTGATACCGGCAGTGGGGGAGGACGAGGGGGCGGACAAGGGGGCGGACGAGGGGGCGGACGAGGGGGCGGACGAGGGGGCGGACGAGGGGGCAGAGGACGAGGCGCAGGGAGCATGGGATGGAGGGCGGGTGGGCGGTGGCACAGGGTGGGAGGGCGAGGCAGCGATGATGGATGACCGGCGCACGTGGCTGCGGTGGCCCGGGGCGGACAAGGTGGGGCGCGCGTACTGGGCGGACCTGAGGGTGGAGGGGTTCGAGGCACACGTGGAGGAGGCGAGGCGGCCGAAACTGGCGTATGACCGATCGATGCTGCACATCCTGCACCAGGTGCGGGCAGGCTGCACATCCTGCACCAGGTGCGGGCTGGCTGCACATTCTGCACCATTTCCCTTCCCTCCTTACCTCCCTCCCTCCCTCCCTCCCTGTGTGTGCATGCCCGTGTGTGTGCGTGATCGTGTGTGTGCGCGCTCGTGTGTGTGCGTGCGCGTGTGTGTGCATGCTCCCCACGTGAGTGCGCCTGCCTCTGCAGTTTGGCATCATGTCGGAGGCGGAGGTGGTGTCAGGCAGCCTGCTGCACGTGGCTCACAGGGGCGGGCGGCGGGATGAGGCGGTGAGGGAGCACATGCGCAACATGTTTGTCAACCTGCGGCAGCACTACCACCGCGTGCTCGTGTACGGGGCGGAGCACGGGGGGGAGGACAACGAGGACGACCACACTGATTCCTCGCTGCCTTCTCGCTTCCCTCAGCGGCACCCGAGAGAGCCCCGGCAGCAGCTCGCTTCGCCGGTCAGTGTGCTTGCAGTTGGACTCTGCGTACAGTGCTGGGGCATCTGTGCTTTCTCCTCTCGTGCGTGTTTTGGGTAAAGCATGTGGTCAAAATAGATGCCCTACTCACGACACAGTGTGTCGTGTTCAGACATTGCCACCTGGTTCGTCGCATGCTGGGATCGTGGATCTCTGAAGGTTATTTAAGCCCCAAACTGTGTATTTCCACGTGTGTTTGTGTGTGTGCATGCGTGTGTGCGTGCGTGCGTGTTTGCCCATGCGCCTGAGCATGGGCATGCGCGAACGCGAGTGCGAGTGTGTGTGAGCATGTCTATGTGTGCAACCAGGTTTCAAATGAGGCTAATCGCCTTGATATTTCTTTGATTCGAGCCCGCGCCTTCGCCTGGTACCATGTGTGCTACCATCCCATGGAGATTGATCGCGTGCAGGAGGAGGCACACAACTTCGGCCTAGTTGTGGCGCCAATATTTCTGAGCTTTGCGTGGATTGGAGTGGATGCGTTATGCCAACACTTGATGTTGGAATGAGCCTTTAGAGCATTTGTCGCATCAACTCAATACATACATTTGCATGTAGAAGTTATAGGCTAGAATAGGTGTGTTCTTAGAGAGTACAACCCAAGTCCTATATCTCTCTTGTTCTCTTCTTTCTATTCATTCTAGTATTCTAACATGGTATCATGAGTAGGTTGGTCCACTCTGTTAAGAACTTAGGATGCTAGGTCCCTAAAGTTAGGACACTAGCTTAGCTAGGATAGGAGCAAGGCCGCCATGGAACGGCGCTAGGAAAAACGGATCTAGGAGTAGGAGGAAAGTCGAGAAGAAAGAGAGTTGGATTAGGAAGAGAAGGGAGTACAAGGAGGGGTTTGTACCCCCTACAGAAAGGTTCAGTAGCAACCTACCAAGCCTATATAAAATTATAACTTATATAATTTTAACACACCCCCTAGGCTTGGTAGTGTCAAGCCCACTCACACCCCCACACCCGCACCCAACCCACCCCCTAACCCCGCACACCCTCAGGCTCGTGCTTAGCCGGGTATCTGACCCTCAGGCAAAGCGTTGACACACCCCCGTACACGAGGCAGCCGACGGCGTCTAGGCGGGTCAGCGACAAGCAGCCGCGGAGCTCTGGCTCAAGGCGGCTGGGTCGCCGACGACAGGCGGCGACTGCCGCGGCTGAGGGCTCTCGGCGATGTGGCAACGTCCGGGCAGAAGACAGCAGCTGCGACAGGAGGAAGGGAAGACGCAGGGGGAAGGGAGAATGGGGGGGGGGGGGGGGGGGGGGGGGGGGGGCGGGGCGAGTCTTCAGCGTCGCGCCATAAATGGCGCGGCGCTTACAGGCGGGACGACGGCGTCCTGGCAGGGGGCGACGGGGCCGGGCAGAGGGCGACGGGGCCAGGCAGGGCGCGACGGGGCCGAGCGGGTGCGATGAGGCCAGGCAGGGCGCGACGAGGCCCAGGAGGGGCGCAGCCGCGGCGTCGCGCTGACGTCGTCCCGGTCGCGTGTCGAGACGGCCGCGGCAGGACGGCGCAGCCGGCGAACAGACGACAACGCCACAGCGTGACGCCGCCGCGGCCGCCATGGCAGCGTCGATGCCGCAGCGGGGCGTCGACGCTGCGACTGCAGAACGACGGCCCGACTCCGCGGCAGCGCGTCGGGCCGGTCGCGGCACGACGCGCCCAGTGGCAGCGCGACGTCGCCACTGCAGCAAAACGCGGCCGCCATGGCCGCTGGAGTGAATGAGGGTGAGGAGTAAATGGCGGAAGCGAGAGGAGGCAGTCCAGCAGGAAGGATCTCCTGCTCTGATACCATGTTAAGAACTTAGGATGCTAGGTCCCTAAAGTTAGGACACTAGCTTAGCTAGGATAGGAGCAAGGCCGCCATGGAACGGCGCTAGGAAAAACGGATCTAGGAGTAGGAGGAAAGTCGAGAAGAAAGAGAGTTGGATTAGGAAGAGAAGGGAGTACAAGGAGGGGTTTGTACCCCCTACAGAAAGGTTCAGTAGCAACCTACCAAGCCTATATAAAATTATAACTTATATAATTTTAACACACTCATCCGCTTCCGCCCCGTGCCCTAGCCTACTACGCCTCGCCGGCCCCTATCGCGCCTAGCCGGCCCCTCTCGCGCCGTAGCCGCCCCCTCGTGCCTAGCCGGCCCCCTTCGCGCCTAGCCGGCCCCTCGCGCCCTAGCTAGCCCCTCACGCCGTAGCCGGCCCCTCGCGCCGTAGCCGGTCCCTCGCGCCTAGCCGGCCCCTTCGCACCCAGCCGGCACCCACTCATGCCGTAGCCGGCCCCTCGCGCCGTAGCCGGCCCCTCGCGCCATCACCGACCCCTCGCGCCGTCGCCGGCCCCTCGCGCCGTAGCCAGCCCCTCGCGCCCTAGCCGGTCCCTCGCGCCGTCGTCGGCCCCTCGCGCCTAGCCGCCCCCCACCCCCCCCCCCCCCCCTTCGTGACTAGCCGGCCCCTCGCGCCCCAGCCGGCCCCTCGTGCCTAGCCGGCCCCTTCGTGCCCAGCCGGCCCCTCTTGCGCTGTAACAGGCCCCTCGCACCTAGCCGGCCCCTCACGCTTAGCCGGCCCCTTCTCGCGCCGCCGCCGGTCACTCTCGCCTAGGCGGCCCCCTCTCACCGAGCCGACCCCTCGCGCCTAGCCGGCCCCTACCGCCTAGCCGGCCCCTCCTGCGCACCACCAGCCCCACGCGCCTTGCCGGATCCTCTCTACGCGCCGGCCCCTTCCCGCACCTGCCCGGCCTCTCGCATGCCAGGCCGGCCCCTCGTGCGCCTCGGCCCCTGCGCGCCCGCAGGCTCCTCGCGTGCCCACCGGCCCCCCTTGCGCCCTCCTCGGCCTTCCGCCCCGTCCCCGTTCTAGAGAGTCCTGCTGCCACGTCGCTGTATCGCCATGCAGCTGAGTACCTGCGTCCTTGTGCCGCTGTGTCGCTGTGCAGCTGTGTCCCGGTACCACTGCGGTTGCGCGATGGCGGACGCCATGCTACGTCTGGACGCGGAGGGGCACGCGATCGACTTCGCTGCCTAGCTTGTCGATCTTCGCCAGCACCTGACAAGTCAGTGCCAGGATGGGCACTCCCTAGCTATGCATGTTGATGGCTTGCTTCCCGGGCCCCCCGCGCCTGATCCCCTCCTTGCTGACCCCACCACTGCTAAGAGTGAGGCCTTTGCTGCTGCTGCACTCGCTCGCGCTGTCTGGGATTCTCGCGATGATGTAACGCAGCTTGCCATTCGTCATGCGCTTCCCCTATCTGAGCGCCCGCGTTTCACTACTGTCGCGAACGCCAAAGACTTCCTAGATGAAGTAGTTGCACGCTACTCCACGCCTGCCTCCGCCTCAGCTGGACGCTTGATCCTCCCCATGCTCTTCCTCGATCTCTCTGCATTCCCCACTGTCGCTGATCTCGCCACTCACCTCCGTGCACTAAAGACTAGCTACCGCGCTGCTAGCACTAGTGCCCAACTCACTTCCTTTTCCCCGCCGTTCTGTGCTACCCTGTACCTTATTGCCATGCGCCTGCCTGACTGCTTAGCCACTGCCCGTGACCACTTCCTTAGCCAGCACCCTGGTGACCTCACCCTGACCGCCTTTGTCACTGCCCCTTCTAAGATAGAGACTGGGCAGCGCACTATCGCCCAGTCGAGCGGTGTTGCGGCCCTCCCTAACTTCCAGGGCTGTGCTCCCTCCCAGTGCACGTACGCTGACGTTTTCGTTGCGGTTGCTACAGCTGCTCCTGCCATTGAGACCGCAGCGGCGGCCTTCCTGCAGCAGCAGCGACAGCGTCGGGGCCGTCGCGGCCCCAAGGCAGGGCGTGGTGGTGGTGCTGGTGGAGGTGGAGGTGGCGGCGAAAGTGGTTCTGACGAGGGAGCTTGGGCAAGTCTCCAAGAGCAGCAGCAGCCGTCACAACAGCAGCCGCAGCAGCAGTCACAGCAGCAGCCGCAGCAGCAGCAGCCATGGGCCCGCCTCCTGCCTGGGTGGCCGGGAGCCCCTGGAGGTGGTGGTTGAGGTGGCGGTCCTCGCAGCTCGGCGTCTACCAGCGGGTTCGGTGCTGTGAGCTGCTAGTACCAGCTCCAGGCCTTGCTCCTCCGTGGCACTATGTGCCGCCGCCCACACACGACCGCCCACTGCTTCCGCTGCCTCGACGACTCTTCCGTCGCCACTTCGGCCCGGCCCCGGACCTGCCTGACTGGCCCAGTCAGCTGTGCCAAGGTGTGCCTGTTTTTGACTTAGACATGGAGCAGATTGCTTCTGCCTTGCATTCTCTGTATCCTGACGCTTCTACTGTGTCCGGATCTTATTACCCTGTGTTCTCTAGCCTAAGCGTAGCACCTGTGTGTAGTACAGACACCCCTGCTGCGTCAGGTGTAGGACCGTGTGCTTTGTCTAGCCTAGGCTCTACCCTTGCTCCTCCTTCATCCGCCGCTACGGCTTTGCTGTCCTTCAAACTTGACTCCGGTGCGTCTGCCTGCTTCTTCCGCGACCACGCTCTGCTTATGCTGCTTGCCGCGCCTGCCGCTGTTGCACTTGCTGACCCCTCCTCTGGTCCTGTAGTTGCTCGCAACTAAACGACCCTTCCCTGTCCAGCGGTTCCCTCGGGTTCCCTTACAGGCTTGCACATCCCCTCATTCTCCCGGAACTTAGTTGGTGTCACCTGTCTTCAAGACCTCAGCGTCACCACTACGTTCCCGGGTCACGAGCGGTACGCCATATGCACCGAGGCCGCCTCAGGTTCCCCCCTTGCGACGTTCCCCCGGGATCCAGTGTCTGGCCTCTTTACGCAGGACACTGCTTCCCCCCCGGGTGGACCGTCCCCCCCCCAGGTCTTGCGTCTACCCAGGTCGCCGCTGAGTGCTCGTGTCGGTTGCTCACTCACCCGTCGCTTCTGTGGCACCACCGCCTAGGTCACCCCACACTCCCGAGTCTGCGTCACATGTCCCAGCACAGTCTCGTCCTAGGTCTCCCTGCGTTGCTTCTTGCCCTCCCTCCCTCGCCTCCGCTGCCGTGCACGCTCTGCGTCGAGGGCTGGCTGCGCCGTGCTCCTTACTCCTCATTGCTTCGTCCCACCACCGCACCCCTCCAGACCCTGTACCTGGACGTTTGGGGCCCAACCCCTGTCCCTGGACCGCGTTGCGAGCGCTACTTTCTAGTGCTCATGGACAACTACACGCGCTACACCACGGTGTTTCCCTTGGAGCGGAAGGACGACGTGCCTGACGTTCTTATCCCGTGGGTCGTAGCTGCGCGCCTCCACCGCGGTCTCCCTGTGCTGTGTCTCCACTCCGACCGTGGCGGCGAGTTCGCCTATGGTCCGCTTGGTCAGTTATGTCGTGCGGAGGGCATCACCCAGTCGTACACTCTACCGGACTCCCCGTAGAAGAAAGGGGTCGCTGAGCAACGCATCGGCGTCGTGGAGGTGGCTATCACCTCCATGATCCATGCCGGTGCACCCCATTTTCTGTGGCCGTTCGCCGTTCGCTACGCCGCTCACCAGCTTAACCTGTGGCCGCACTCCCAGCGGCCGCAGGTTTCACCGACCCTTCTTTGGACCGGGTTCCCTGGTGACGCGTCCGCGTTCCACGTCTGGGGCTGCCTTGCTCACATTCGTGCCTCTGGCACGGACAAGCTCACTGCTCGCACTGTCCCCTCTGTCTTCCTTGGTTTCCCCCTGGACTCGTCTGAGTGGCACTTTTACCACCCACCGTCTCACCGCTCCTTTTACTCCCGTGACGCCACTTTCGACGAGTCTGTCTCCTTTTACCACCGCTTTCCCCATTGAGGTCTCCCGATTTCCCCTCCCCTGTTTTTGGTCCCCACTCCCCCGGTAGCCCCTAAACATCTTCCTCCCCGTCTTACTCCGTCTGGTGTGTCTCACGTCACTCCCCTCCCGTCGGTTGTCACAGTCGCGGAGTTGACTAACTATGGTGGCCCTTCGGCGCAGTTCTCGCCGCCTATCTCCCCCCTGGTGTCTCCTCCTCCGCCGTCGCAATTGCCGCCGCCGTAGCAACCATCGCCGCCGCCGCCGCCACAGCAGCCGCCGTCGTCGCAGCAGCAGCAGCTGTTCGTGGACTCAGGGGGTGCTGGCGTTGAGGAGCGTGCTAGTCCTGGGGTTCCTGTTGTGGCTTGTCCTAGCAGGCTCGGGGGTGGCACCGGCCCTGGAGAGGGTTCTCGCTCTATGGGTGCTCGTTCTAGAGGTGCTGGAGTGGAGTGTGCTGGAGTTAATCGCGGTGCAGCTGGCGGTTCAGGTGTCGGCGTCGAGCAGCAGCAGCAGCAGTCGCCGCCGGTGTCCGCCCTCCACCTGCTTGGCCTTCCCTCCCCCGACCGCTCGCCTGCGCCTCCCCCGCCATCTCCTCCCCTTCCTGTCTACGGCCCTGTGTTTCCTCCGCCGGACTCGTCCCCAGCCCGTTTCCCACCTTGTTCCCCTCCTGTAACTCCTCCTCTGTCTCCTGACCCCACGCCTTCGTCTCACGTCTGGTCTCGTTGTCCCTCTCGTGCTCAACTTGTCTCTCCCGTTCCGCGTTTTCACCCTATGTTGCTTCGTTCCCACACATCTCGTCCTCCCCTCCTGCCATCCCCTCCTCCGTCGTCGCTCATTGTCGCACCTCCCCCTCTGTCTGACTACCTCCGTGTTGCTCGTCCTCTTGTTCCTCGGGTCCTTGCCTCCCTCATTACCGAGTTGTCTGTTCCTGTCTCCAGCCTTGACTCTCTTGTCGCTGCTGTCGCTGACTTCGCCTCTACCCTCTGGTCTCTGACACTGTCCGTCCTCCATCCGTCGAAGGTGCTCCTACCCTTGGCAGTGACGTCCTAGAGGATAGGTAGTACAAGCTTGCTTTCCAGTCCGAGGCTGCTCCCCATCTCTGCTCCATGCTACTAGTCCTTGAGGATGACCCAGACGCCTTTGACATCTCGACCCCTCGCACTTACGCTGAGGCGACCTCGGGACCCTGGGCCTCTCAGTGGATAGCTGCCATGGAGCAGGAGATGGCATCTTGGAGATCCACCGGCACCTACGTCGACGCGGTTCCCCCACCTGGGGTGAACGTAGTCGACGGCCGATGACTCTTCAAGGTGAAGCCCCCCCCTGGAGAGCCACCTGTGTTCAAGGCACACTACGTGGCTAGAGGCTTCAGTCAGCGAGTGGGGGTGGACTTCTTTCAGACCTTCGCCCTGACCCCAAAGATGACTACTCTTTGGGCGCTGCTACACGTAGCAGCACAGCATGACTATGAGCTCAGCTCCCTAGACTTCTCTACTGCTTTTCTTCAGGGTAGCCTACACGTGCACTTCCCTACACCACAAGGCTTCACCGGTACCTTCCCTCCAGGGATCCATTGGCTCCTCCGGCGCCCGGTCTATGGTCTGCGACAAGTGTGAGTGGCACGACACGCTGCGTGCTACGCTATTTGACCTGCAATTCATTCAGTCCTCTGCTGACCCTTTGCTCTTCGTTCGTGCTGGCCAGACTCCGATCTACATCCCTAGTGGTCCTTACGTAGAGCTGGTGGGTTGCCTCATATACCTGATGACTTGCACTCGTCCTGATCTTGCATACCCTCTCAGCATCCTGTCTTGCTTGTGGCCATCAGCAGACACCGACTGTAGCACTGGTCGGCTGAAAAGAGTGTTTTGCGTTATCTAGCGAGTACATTGGGTATGGGGCTAGTGCTAGGAGGACGCATGCCGGTGGTGCTTACTGGGCACACAGACGCTTCTTGGGCAGACGACGCTGAGACTCTCAGGTCCTCCCAGAGCTACTACTTTAGCCTTGGTTCTGGTGCCATCTCGTAGAGGTCCACTCGCTCCTCGTCTGTTGCCCAATCTAGCTGTGAGGCTGAGATCTACGCCGTGCCATGGCGGTACAGGAGCTCCGCTGGCTGGCGTTCTTGCTCACCCACTTAGGTGAGCGGCCTAGCTCTGCCCCGGTCCTGTACGCTGACAATAGGGCCATGATCCTCTTGTGTCAGGAGCCTCGACTTGAGGGCAGAGCGAAGGACATCCAGCTGCGGTACTTGCTACTGCGTGAGCTACATTAGTGCCGCCAGGCCCGGGTCGTACACTTGGCCTCCGGTGCCAACACAACTGATATCTTTACCAAGGCGCTTGCACCTAAAGATCATCCGCGGCACTACTTGCAGCTTGGTCTAGTTCCTATAGACTCTCACTTGCTAGGACCTTGATTTTGTACTCCTCTTTATATATATATTTCAGACTGGCCTTGTGGCTTCTCTTCCAGTGGCCGGACTAGTAGTGTTGCCCTGGTTTGCTCTTGTCTTGTTTGTACTCTTGCTGACTGTTCTTCGGACCCCTGCCTCAGAGGTTGGACTAGTAGTGCCACCCTGAGCTGTGTGCGTCTTGCTCAGCACTACCCCTTATCGAGTCTAGGGAGTGTGTCAACTTATACATACATTTGCGTGGAGAAGGTATAGGCTAGAATAGGTGTGTGTTCTTAGAGAGAGCAACCCAAACCCTATAGCTCCCTTGTTCTCTCTTCTTTCAATTCATTCTAGTATTCTAACAAATTGTACATGTGAAAATAGCGCGAGGAAAGTTGACTACCGTAAACGCCCAGATAGAAGACCCCCATGGAATAAAATATATAGTGTCTTGTATTAGGCATGTATCTTGTATTTGTCATTTCTGTTCACAAGATGCAAATTTGAAGGAGATATGAGATAGGATACCCTACGTTGCTTTCAAGGCTGTTTCAGTGTCGCATGTGTTAACACCCTGTATTGTCCAAAAGGCTAATATCAGACATCGAGTACACACACACACACTAAAGGGTATAAAAATCCTCAAAAGTGTCCATCGTCAAGAGATCACAGTTGTCCTCATCAACAACCTCTACAGGGGCGGGCTTCCGAAATTCATGCACCCCCCAAGCATTCTGTGCAGTACTCTCAGGCTCATGTAGCTTGTCTGCCTCTGCTGCAGCACCGCGACACTTCTTTCTCTCAGGGTACGGGTCTGGCTCCACGGGGCTCTCCTCCTCCTCCTCCTCCTCCTCCTCCTCCTCCTCCTCCTCCTCCTCCTCCTCCTCCTCCTCCTCCTCCTCCTCCTCCTCCTCCTCCTCCACCGCCTCATCCTCCTCCCCCTCCGCCTCCCCCTCCTCCTTCTCCTTCTCCCTTTCCTACCCCGCCACAAAGCCGCTGTTGTCCCCAGTTGTGCCCCGTAGGGACATGTCCTCTGACACATTGATCATGGGCTTTTCGTGCATGTGTTGAAGCACAAGGTAGTTGTCGGTGCCGTCCATGGAGCTGGAGATGCCGCACGTCTTGAACGCGCGAATGATGACGTCACGAGGGACATCCCTCCACGCCTCGTCGATCCATTTCAGCACGACCGCATGAGGTGGACGTCAAAGGTTCCCTGTTGGATTTGGGGGCACAAAAGACAGAGGCATTCAAAGTGAATCCTGGTAAGCAGAAACAGTGGGTATGTCATACAGCTACAAAGATGTGTACAGGGTAGCAAAATGCCGTACCTCTCGGAGTCCTCAGGTTTATGCCGTGTTTCGCGAACCATTTGGCGTACCGAGCACACACTCCCGCTTCGAATCACCTGTTGACAGACACATCAAGGTTCTGACGGATGAGACTTGAGCATGTAATTGAGGCTCCATTGACGGATCTGCTTCACGCCGACCGCCAAGCCGAGTTCCCACTACTCGCAGATCCATTTGTACAGCATCTCCTCCATGACAGGGTGATGAGCATGCCACCCTGTGCCGTGGAGTCGCTTGTGACACTTGGCGGCACCCTTGTATCGGCCAAGCATCTGCTGGTGCACCGACCGCTTGATGGAACACGGGCCCACGCCTGCCTCCGCCGCAGTCCGCTTGAAGGACTTGAGCTCGTAAAGTGGCGGGCCCATTTCGTCTTCTCCTACAAGGTGAAGCTACGACGACACTTCTTCGAGAGTCTGTTTCGCGGAGACGGCGGCTGGGCATCTGGATTCCTCTCCCGGGGGTCTTTCGGCTTCCTGCCTTCAGGGAAGGTGGTGAGCGGGCCGACTGCCTCTTCATACTGGTCGTCGGAGATTACAATTTTTAAACACATGCAGTGTTTTTCAAAATTGTGTATTGTGAAAGCGAAGCTGATTGTACTGAAGCTTTGGGCATCGTCGAAGCGCGCTACTCGCCGTTCTCCAACTACAAATATGTGGGTTGGAGCTCATTTCGCTCCACCCACATCTCTCATTTTTCAAACGGCTGAGTCAACTTTTCCCGCTCTAGCCTTTTCTCCCGTTCAAGCTGGCTAAGTCTAGAACTTTGCCTTGTGGCGAGTCTTCCTCAACTCTTCTTTCCGACATTTTCAAGTTTAACCAATCTGCCATGGCTCCGACTACCAATAATTGCGGCGAGTCCAACGTCGCAACCAGCCACCCCAATTACGAGTCTACTCGCCGAGCCTTGGAAGTTGCAGGCGACCGGCGGAACAAGCGTCGGGCAGAAGAAGGGGCGTCTGCCCCAACTGGGGTTGACGTTCTGCTGGGAGGGGGCGAGGTCAACAATCAGCCTGTTGACGTGCCCCCGCCCCCTTCTGAGCCGCGCGAGCAAGTGGCTGAGCAGGGCCAGCCACTCGCTCCTGACGTCAAGCCACAGCAGGCGACAGCGCCGCAAGTGGCGGGTCCTTCTCGCCAGTGCAAAAGGGGGCACGCGGCTGCCTCGTCTGATGCGCCGCCCACCCCGACCTTGACCCCCTCGTTGACCCCTGCGCAGGTCAACGCGCTGCTGACGCTGTTACAGCAGCAGGCGAAGAATGTTACGGCCGCCAAAACTGCTCAACTGGTTGCTTCAGCATCTGCTAAAAGCAAAAAAAGAAAAAGCCACACGCGGAACTAAGACTCCACGCCTCGCCAAAGACCCCGTCGCCAGCATCCCGCCTGCCCCGGCTGCCGACAACGACAGTGACGACTCCGACCATGACGCTGGTGAGGTCCCCGACATTGCTGCAAATTCAATTCCCATGGAGCACCTCCCACCCCTTCCGACCACTAACACCACCCTCTTGGCGGCGTCCTTCCTCAACGCGGCCGTGTGCAAGCAAGCGGAATTCCCGGAGGACCTTCGGGCATACCTGAAGCATGCGGAGTACAAGATGCAGCATGGTGATGCACCGGGCGGCCTCGAATTCCTCGCCGACGCGCTCGCCCTCATATCGCGGTGCTTCGAAGTCCTCCAAGTCGAAGACGCCTCCGACTTCCGCACAGCCAAGCGTTTCAAGCTGTACCAGCTGAAGAGCTTGCTTACCTCCAGGCCTTTCAAATAGGCCATCGTCGATATGGCTGCAATGGACCGCGCCGAGGGCGCTTTTGCTTGTGGCAATTGCGGAGGCGGCCGCATGCCCATGCCGTTCGCGCCAAAGCGTGATCCACCGCCTACGGGAGAATTCCGTGACTTCCGAGGCACTTGCTTCCGCTGTGGCCAGCTGGGGCATGTGGCTAGCGGCTGCTCGACGAATGGGCATGGTGGCCAAGGACCCGCACCCGTGGTGTAGGGGTCGGGCCATGGGAGCTTGTGCAAGTGGCGCAAGGCGCAAGGCTCACGGTGTGTGCGTAGGCCATTGGGCCCACCCCATAGGGGCATGGGTGGCGGAGGGCCAGCCCTAGTGTAGGCCATTTGAAGCCCCTAGGCTCAGAGCAAGGGAAGGGGAGCAGACCCCCTCGGTCCCAAATGATAGCCTGACCTTGCAGGGCGGACTTTGCATGCCTAGGAGCATGGTTGAGTAGCGATGTATTTTGCTTGAAATAAGGAGCCGTGGCCCTCTGTTTTTGGAGGTTCTTAGTCCTTAAATACAACCAGAGAAATGGGAAAGTAGCTCCAGGCGCCGAGAGATCATTCTTGGTAGCGGGCACCTTGACACCGTACTCTTTGAGCCACGCGTTGAGCTCCTTCGCCCCGTACCCGTCCAGCACTGCCAGCACGTGGAGGCCAGTGCGGCAATGTCTGAAGCCCTTCATCCAACCTCCAGCACACAAAGAGAGATCGATGGCGTGCTTTGGACGCTACAGACGTACGCGCCTAGGATCCGGAACAAACACGTGCTAGTGCGGGTGGACAACCAGGGCGTGTTCTTCATCCTTCACAAAGGAGGCTCCCGAATTCCCGACCTCACCATCACATGCAAAGGCATCATCCAAACATGCATGAAGTTCGGGATTCATCTAATCAATGAATGGATCCCATGCAAACTGAATAGTCGCGCAGACGAGCTCTCCAAGCTAGTCAACCACGACGACTACTCATTGAAGCTCCCATGGTTCCGCCTCCTCGAGCGTCGCTGGGGACCCCATTCCATCGACCTATTTGCCAACCCCCAAAACGCACACTTGCCACGTTTCTGCTCTAAGGTCCCCCACCCCGATGCCACAGCAGCCGATGCCTTCTCACTTGCCTGGACGGCCGAGAACAGCTTTGCATTCCCACCACCCAAACCCCGCAGTACTCCATCACGCACAACGCACGAGCACATCTCTCACCCTCATCGTCCCACACTGGCCTAGCGTAAGCTGGTGGCCGCTCCTCCAGCCCTCCCCTCCATTGTTGGATCCACACATCCAAGCACATATCCCTCTTACACACGGAAGCCAGTCCTTGTAGTCAACACCCACAGTCAAGCATTCTCAGGCACAGGATTACCCAGCAGCACTATCGTCGCACTCCGTGTGGTATTTGACTAACTAGACTCATCTACATGTCCCCAGATCTGCTTCCAAAGCTCCAACACAACCGTCTCTCCATGCTCGCCCACTCTCGTTTCGACTCGACCATCCGAACATACGAGCCTTACTGGGTGAAGTTCTGCGACTTCTGCACGAAGGTCAACTTGACGTTCTTGCTGGCATCACACATGACCCTCGCGCTCTACCTGGTGTATGTCATCCTACGCAAGGCCTCCTTGTCGGTGGTTCAGCTCACATGCCCTACCGTGAGCTTAGCCCATCGGATGACAGGCTCAACATGCCCAACCACCGGCCCTTTCACCTCCCAAATGCGCCACTTCGCGAAGCAACACTACTTGCGTCCTAACAGGCTCAAAGAGCCGGTCTCACTCCATCAGGTCCACGACATGGCGGCCTCCTTCCGACAATCAAGCAACCCAGCTGTGTTCCAAAAAGGATTGATCCCGATTCTCATGTACGCCGGCTTTTTGCGCTACTCGAACTTGGTGGCCATCAAATGGCAGGACATCCAATTTAAAGATGAAGCTATGTGGCTACTCATCCCCCACTCAAAAACTGACCAAGGTGGCCAAGCCACATGGATCTCTATCGCGGCAAGCCCCGGACCCTTTTGTCCAATCCAGGGCACCCAGAGGCTCATCCAACTCGCAGGATACAACCCCCAGTCCCCGGGACCGCTCACCCGGGTCTTCGGACCCCACCTACCGAGCCATGGCTCAGCCAGACCGCCCTCATACACCACAATCCGCAACTGGTGCAAGGAAGCATTCGCGAAAATCGGTTGGGAGAAGAGCACCTAGGCACCCACTCCTTTTGGAAAGGCGCGGCCATGGTTGCTGCCAACTCTGGGGTGCCTGACAGGATCATCAAACGCCTGGGCCGTTGGCGCCATGAAACCGCGAAAGAGATGTACGTCACCGCTCACGACCGATCATCTTGTTGGCGCATCTCGTCGCCTGCAAGACCCGGCGGCGGCACCCTCCTCTGCACAACACGACGAAGCACTTCTCCGCCACCACAAGCCCCCACTGCACATGTCTTAACGACCCCACTTGAAATGAGAATGATGCCTATTGCAAAGGACAAGAAAGCAAGCTTTCTCAATATTATAATTTTTAAACACATGCAGTGTTTTTCAAAATTGTGTATTGTGAAAGCGAAGCTGATTGTACACAAGCTTTTGGCATCATCGAAGCGCGATACTCGCCCTTCTCCAACTACAAATACATGGGTTGGAGCTCATTTCGCTCCACCCACATCTCTCATATTTCAAACGGCTCAGTCAGCTTTCCCCCCAACCCCCCTCGACAACCGTTGCTCTTCAATTGCCAGCCGGTTACTTGAACGGGAGTGCACAACTAGGATCATGATGTATGTATGTTTAGATTCTTATAAGCTAGTAAGAGCCTGTTGTATAGTGACGGAAACAATTGTCTGGATGTTTTGCATTAATTAGGGTTTTGGGGCTTTTCGACCACTATACATAAAGTCTTAATGTTTAATGGTGGTACGCTTT